AAAAAAACACTAACTTATAAAACAGTTTGAAAAATAGATTTTGTTTAGAATAAAGCTCTTTAATATTACCTCAGGGTTTTATTGGCTCTGAAAGTGCTTTCTCAAACATTTTCTTTTGCATAACTACAGAATTACTTTTATTTTCAGCTGTTATCTTTACAGAATGAATTGGACCAGTTAATCACAGACATGCACTAATTACTGGGCTTTAAAGAAATAAAASAAAACAAAGCAAAAACCACAACAATCCTCTTGCTAAAAAATAGTCATCTAAGATGGCCCAGAAGTGAGTAAAACAGTTCTTTTCGGTGACACCTTTTTCCTTCTGTAATATGTGAGCTGCATAGGAAAGTTCCCAGCGGATGGGAAAATTCACATTTTAACATCCCAATTCTTTGAGATACAGAGCAGATGGTGAGAAATCATCCCTCTATGGGTAAATGAAAGCTTTGCCTCCCTAAGGATACCACTCCTATACTCCCATCCTATGCTGCAAACACCTGGCAGGGGCTCTTAGAAGGAAAGTTTTAAAAAAGGGAAAAGAAAATCTGGTGTGTCTGTTTTAAAGTCAATGTTCCCACAGTCAAAAATGTGGGTTTTTTTTTGTTGTAAGGTTTTTTTTTGTTGTCTTGGGTTTTATTTTTAATATAACCTTCTTTTAAAGAGGAAAGCCTCAAAATTTCCATTAGGAAATTACACTGGATTGGGAAAACAAAAATTCCATTTTGACGATAAAAGAAAAGGGGGGAAAAGGCAAAGTAACCAATCAACCAACACACAAGCCAGTGACTGATTTCTCTCTCTGCCTGGACCAGGAATGCTCCTGGATTAAAAAGGCAGCTGCCCCTATAAACTTATATTCAGCTCCTAAATAACAAGGGATAAAGATCTCTGTCTGTCATCACAGGGACTGTCAGGGGTCAAAGGGACCTGGATCYTTCCTATTTGAGGGAATGCAATAAAGAAAAGCAGGTTAACAGGGCTCTTGAAAAGAACTATACGGGAGATAACATTAATATAATTGAGTGCTCTCCAGCTCTGTCACGAGACTGTAAATTATTTGCTGGGAATTTAATTAAACCTGYCTTTGTCAAGGAAGCTGGTGATTCCTAGGATTGTGTTTCCCACTTGGAGCAGCCCCTTGCTCTGGTGCTCTGGGGATGTGCCAGGCTCCTGCCGTGCTCTTGGTGACCCCCAAACTCTCCGATGGGAGTTGCTCGGTGCTCTGCCTTCCGAGCACTTCCATCTCCATCTGCCAAGAACACCTGAGAGAGCCCGAAAAAAACAAACCTCCCATATGGCAAMGCTCTTCAAAGTGAGCAGAACTCAGCCTGATGAAGTCTTGATCCGTTAGAGCAGGGAGCCTGCTCATTAGGCTTTCACTAAATATTCAGAAAAAACGCATGTGCACGCTAACCCAAAAAGCACATTGCAACAGAAGCTTTTGAAGGATAGGATACAGCACGATGGGAATGGATGTTGAAGGATAAAAGATCATCACAATGTAATTTTTAAAAGCTTTTATAGCAATAGCTTAAGATGAATGGGAAGGAAGAATGCCTCATTAATTTGATTTCATTAAATTTTGCACTTAAAATATTTTCACCGTGTTTCAAGTGAAACCAAAAAATATGTTGRCATTTTCTATTCCCTCTCCGTATTCAAGGCAGGAAAAGGGCAAGAAAAGGTGCACACAGGTTAAGGGGATGTGTGTGCGGACAGGTTTTTTTTCTTTTCCACTTGAGAATGGCAAGATCTAGGAATGAACCATGAAATCCAGGAATTAAAACTGTAAAGTGACAGAAGTTTTGAGCTGGTTTGTCCCCAGCTACATACCCAGACAAAACTAATAGGAGAGAAGGGGAATTGCCTGCCAAAATAGTTTTGGTTGTTTTTTTTTTGTTTTGTTTTGTTTTGTTTTTGTTTTGTTTTTTTTTTCCCCAGAAGCTAAAGCACAGGAAGACTAAGAAAGAGCAGAAAGGCCAAAAGAAGTGGTCACAGAATTGCAATCCAGCTGCACATTTTCATTTTGATCTACCGGTGATTCCATCACCTGTCTGCATAACCAGAAACTTCTGCCAATGAAAATAAACCCATTCTGCCATRTTTCAGGGGTATTATGCAACCAAAAACTTGCACTTTTAAGTTCGTAATTAGTYTTGCTTTGATTTTAATTAAGTTATCTTCATTACAAGAGCTTAAGAACTCAGAACATTTTTCCCCCCTCTCAAAAGCATGTTTTCCATTTGGGATTTTCTTTGATCTCTCACTGAAACATGGGAGGGTTTCCAGATTAATTTCAGCAAAATTTACTCCAAAGTTGACAAGTGTATTCCGGTAGTAATTTATGACAGAATTCATCATAAGCTAAAACCTAAATTACTGTAACTGAAAGGGAGATGTGAAGAAAGAGCATGCACAGCACTTCCTACTTACGACTTTCAGACTTTATATAATACTTTTCTAACCTTTTATACATTTCTAGTTAAATCCACGTTTTTTAGAGCCCAGCACAGMGTAAAATATTTACATTTTGGCCTCACTAAACCACAGACAAAATCCTTGGGATGTGTCTTGCAAAACAGTAAACAGATTTACATTCAGGGTATAAAAATATGATTACAATACATTTATTTCTGCCCTACCCAGTTCAGTATAATGCTGTGTTCAGAGTCAATTTTACTTACAGAAGCTAAAAATCTCTCTCAAGACCTACCAAACCCTGATATGCTCTTCCACAGTGCAAAGGGGCTTAAAGAGATGTCGGTATGTTCAT